AATGGGAAATACAATGATTACCAACTGACATTTAATATCGATATTCAGTCGTGTCTACGAACGATTTGAATTTGGTATGGTATCTGAAATTCAACGAAGATCTTGAATTCGTTTACTTCAGTTACCCACTCGAAATACTTAAGAATTGTCTTTATGCGGTGAATGGTATTTAAAAAAACAATAGACGTTTAACTGCTAAATCGTCGTTCTTTAATATTTCGAAAGGTCAATTATAATGCTATCGCAATAGAGTGTGTTTTCGGTTAGCGCCGATATATGCAGTTGCTGCAAATTTTTACAGAAGTGTAAAATTGCGCGAAATTAATACACAGCGGTATTCACATATTTCTAATTAAATTTATCTGTCTAAATGTTTCCTTTTGTAATTTTTTATATCCTGCCCGTCTCAATCACATAATTGTTCATCAAATCGGGATTCTGTTCCCGGTTTTTTTCTTAGTTGCTACTGAGAGGCAATAATCAGTTAATTAGATTGATGTATAATTGCTAAATAAGTGGGGTCGAATTATTTTTAACTTAATAATTGAATGCTTTAAATCTCAGTGAATGCTGTCAGAGTGCTTTTCTATCCACAACTTATTGTTGAGAAGGAATTCAAAAGTTCAACGTGATTTAATTATCTTATTAGACTTTTGACGCCTATGTACTTTTTAGGTAAATATTTATGTTTTAGCAAAAGTGCGTAGGAACCTTTCTATTTACCAGTTTTCTCATGTCTTGTCAGTATAAATTGTGGTTATTATTGTCATTCCTTAAGATTAGTAAAGGTAATGTTCTGAGGTAAAGTTAATAAAATTAAGTTTTGCATTATTACTTGATTAAGTTATGATTTTTTATTTGCTTAAGATACTTAATCGACATAGATCGAAATCTGTTGGGTTTGGAAATAGGAAACTTGAAATATATTTTTATTTTGCGGAGCAAGTATGTCCATACGAGCGTAGTGCCTCTTCTCTTTATCGTCTGGACGGTATTTGAAGTTCCGATGACATCGATGACTTTTTGATTGCGATACATGCGTTTTGCATTTGCATGGACTTCAGAATCTGGATATAATGGGCATTTTTATGGATTTTACTACACAAAACGTTGCAACGTGGCTTTGCGTAGAAAAGGTCGTTATCATTAAACAATTAAGGTAAACTATAGTGCATGCACAATTTGACATAATTAGCAGTATTTTTATACCTGACAATTTAATAATATGCTATTGCTCTAGTAATTTACCTGCTATTCGTAAGTACACGGGAGTGGCACAGGTTCTTGCACCTGGGTGTGTTTTGTAGTAGCTTATGGTCTAAGCACTACCTTACAACCCTCTAGTTAGCAGCCCGTAACAACCCGAGAACGGAGAGAAGAAAGGCGACAGAGGACACGACCGTTTATTAGCGTCACGCCAGCCAAGTGTGCCTTAGTGTGTGGATGAGTGAATGGACGACAGGCATCGGATACAGTAACCAATGGAAAAAGGGGGTGAGTCATTGTCACCGTCAGGTCAGTAACCATGGTTCACTCAGGCGCGATCGCTGTTAATCCGCTACAGTTTCTTCGGTGAGGATTTAGGCGGTTGCGGGATTAACTTCCTATTGCCTGCAAGGTGCATAAGCTCCTGCTGTTATTTCCAGGTTTACTAGCATTTTGATTGAAGAGGTTGAATAAGTGTCATTCGCTGTAATTCCCTTTTTGAATTGTTGCGTTAACTTTGCAGAACCTAGCAACGATGGAAAGACAGGGATCCTGTCAGCCACCTTGCGCCTCTCCACGGTTTCTCATATCTAATTTGCGATCGGTTGAGCGAGCGTGACTTTGTGGGCCAATCAAATAATATGCGTCTGATCTGACATCGAAAATGTAGTGTAAGCGGACAGAATGCGAGATCAGGTGACTGTCTATTTGGACACTTCGGGGATATTCTAATCAAGTCACAATGTGCCATGAGCATCAAAAAACCAGGAATACCAGCACATTTTATTTAGTTCGATGTCATATGGAGGCATGTAAATCTGGAAAAAAAGTTGGGTCTTTTGCCTATCTACTAGGTTAACTTGACCGTATTTGAATCTGCTGCATAAGGCGTTATCTGTTTTGTTGCATTCAATGTTCGATCTAGTTTAATTAAATAAATGAAGCAGCTTAGAAACATTTTCTTAACGCACGTGCTGGTGACGATACTATCACGGAGGCAAGAATACCTGGAAGGGTTTTGAAGAAGACCTTTCTAAGTTGTCGCATGAATTTGACGTCGAGTAGTTCGATAGATGGTTAAAGTATTTACCTTCTCCTTTAAATGCATAGTATATTTTTATTTGGGATAAACATGGAACAACTGTGCAGCAGATCCAGTCAGAATCTGTTTTTGCCATCATTGGGTTTCGCTTTCGTTAACAGCAAGATTATTCAGAATGGCTATTACAGCTAAACAAAGTGACATGATTTTTAAATGGATTTAGTGGCTGAGCTATAAGTTTTATAGAGTAAATTTTTCGCTTAATTAAATCGATATTATCCAGACAATTGGAATGGTAAGCCACGTTTCGTCTGTGATTGTTTTGTCAACGAAGAAGGAAATGCGTCGAAGGAGGAATTTCGAGGTTTTATCATGTGTTCATAATGTGGAGATACCTTCCGGGTGGAATAATATGGAGAGAACGCAGAGCACGCTTTTAGTAGCACAGTGTTCTCTACATTCGAAAGTGCACACAGAATAGCCAAATCGTCATTCCGTCAAAGCGAGCTCGACAAGTCGCAGACAACTGATTCTGTTTCACTTAAAGGTGGCTCAAATGCATGTGCCCGAGTTGACACCGACGCGTACAAGTGCATCAAAACTGGCTGTGTTCGATCCTGGTGGCACACCTTTTTCCCTGCAATGTGATTAATATTCTTTATATTCAAATATGCTGACTAGTCGCTTTTGCTCTGTTTTTTTTCAACCATTAGCACACTGAGTTGCCGCTATGATTTCGGCAACTTACTGGACACGCATGCCTGGATTCTGTACCCAAAATTGCATCAAGTGAATCACACTTTTTGGACAAGTCGCAGCAGGAAACAGCAATTATAAAATGGTTTCAATACAACTTGAGCACCCACAAGCATGCATCCAATTTATTGTGCATATGAGACACTACCATGAAAGGAAGTGGAAATTGGATTCTATATTAAGTCTACTGTAAAATTGCCAATTGTTGCAGGGGCAAAAAACTGACGAAGTTGGGCTGAACGTAAGCCAAGAGGTTCTGTTAACTCGAAATGTGCAACTAGATGAATAACAACTGACTTCAAACTTCCCATGCAGCGTACACAAATTAATCAGGAGCATAAGAATGGTTGTCGAGAGCGATGGTTATTTCAATTACTTGTATCGAAGAGGTAGTACTCCAATACGACTGTTAAAGTGGCTCTACAGCCAGATTTTTCAGTTGTTCTTGTTAAAGCGTCACAAAGACAGATGTAATTTGTAACCAAAATATATTTCGACATCTGGGTTCACTCCACACACGCTAACGTCTATTCATTCGCCACCTTACTGAATTTGATCAGCAGACTTACTTGGGGTTTGTTATGACTATTCAAACTTTCGTTAAGCTGGAGGCTTCGCTTCGTCACACATCACATCCAACCGTGACGCTAGTGTATTAGTCTGCTCATAATCCTCCACCAACGACATTCAGGTTTTTTTAAGGTCTAGTACTTTAGGCAATTGTCAAAATATAGGACACTAATTCGTAGTATTTTGTAATACCTGTAGTTTGAAAACGAAACTTTGTGGTAATACACAAAACGTTTGTTGTATAACTAATGCGCATAGAGGTAAACCGTTGGCAAGTGTAAGGCCAACCCACGCGCACATCTGAAGAGCCATTGTTTTATGACGCTTTTCCAAGCGTTGGAAAGACGACTGCTTCGCATTCTGAAAGTAGCATATTTTCCGTAGAGAAAAGGCTAATTAGTTCGGTGACTCAGAAGGTTCATCTGTAGGGTGGTGCAGTGGTTGCTGCTTCCACGACTAAAATAATGCTGCCTCATGTTAAATACAACGTGTTTCTCATTACTTTCAGCTAATGGTTCAATGTCCCGTAATAAACCGTACCGGCATTTGCCTTGATACGTACGTCTGCCTCACCTGGAGAAGTGTAGCACAACTATGAACTACACTGATTTCAAAACGGTTTGACACTATGCGTTTAAGACTTTAACGTCCCCTAAGGCAGTATAAAAACGTGGTAGCAGGACAGTAAACCAGACACCAGACATTTGAGGACTTTATAGCTTAAGAAATAAAATGAACCCTTGGTATGTGATTAATGATAATGCTCAATTGTAAAGGAAAATTAAGGAGTAACTTCAAAAGTAATCCTTTTCTACAAGAAAGTACTATACTGAAGTAGCTTTATTGCAATCGACGAAATTTTTTTAAGCAGAAGTTGTTGTGCTGACAGTTTATTCACCACGAAGAGCGTTTGGGTTGGAAAGAGTAGAAATATACAAACAAGTCCCAGTCATCATTCCCTTTACGAGAGGAAATGAACTAGTAAATTTCCTAGGCCTTTTGCAACCTTCATTCAGTTTATTCTGCTCACTAACAGCTCGCTGCTTAAATCAAACAAGTAGCCTGTTTGTCACAAATGTTGGTGAAATATATAACTCACCGGAAATTACGTATTTCCGAGGCTGGTTTCAAACAATAAAAACGCAATTTTCGAGTATATGGGTCAAGAAGGTAATCTAGCAGCTTTCTTGTAAATAAATGAGGAAGAAGATTTCTGGCAGTAGGGTGAGAGAACTTGTAAGAAAGTTCATCGGAGGAAACGAAAACGTAGAAGGAAGGAGCATGCTTTTGTGGGTCCTTCATAGACACACACACACAAATTTTGAGCTTGAAATCAGGAGAGGAGAAGGAGGAGGCAGTGGGTACCAGCGTTGATTTGATGAAGAGGGCAATGCGAATGTGGTATTAACCTATGCTTTCTATGCGACTACTCGGCAAATGCTGTAATAACTTCTCGACCTGAACCCCGTATCAGGATGATGCGTTTCAAGCCATCGGTGAGGGTTTCGACGTACTCCATGTAGTAGAACTCGGAGCCCTGGCTCTTGGGAAGCGCAGGCAAATTGATGAGAACGGCAGCTGCCTCAGCCGAGCGCTCCACAATCAACTCGTTTAGGCGCTTTGCGCTGTGCAGACGCCGCGGTGATGACCTCCTAAATAAACAAAACTAATATTCACCAAAAATTCTATTCAGGCTAGATTCTTCGGAAGTGTGGGAATATCGACTTTGGATGTTGTAAGCAATGATGTTCCTCTTAAGTTTCTCAGATCACTGTGCAGTCGATTGTTGAGCACACTCATCTACTTCACTGTTTTTGTATAACGCGACTGATAAGTCTGGTAGGAGGAATTAGTTCGTGCACTTCAGTAATGTGAAACAGCGCAAATAGGATCAGAACTAAAGAAATATCAAAAGTTAAGCTCGTAAGCGTGTACACGAGGAATTAAAGAACAAAGGCTGACAGTTCAGGGGGAAAATCGGATAATGGAGAAGACAAGGCTAGCAGGAGACTAATGTGAGGAAACCTCAATTGTGTAGTGTTCTAGCAAAAGCGGAGGATTACGATGACAAAGACATGGCAAAATCCGGTGTTGCAAGATGAATGCCTTAAGTAGGACACCCCAAGGGACTAACTACCGGAAATAATAAGATCTTTTTTCCACCTTTACTGCACCCATTCAGCCTCGTAGTCGTAGGGCGTGAGTTAATATCTGGAAGAAGCCAGTCATGAACAGGCGCTAAAGGTAAGCTGGTGCAGCATCTGGAAAGTTCCGACTATCGAGAAAATTGGTACGGGTTCAAAACGGTTATGTCCATGGCGCTGAAGCTATCATTTAGCTGACTTTGCGCCTTCGTGTATGCAAAAAACAAATCTACAATTCGTAGCTAGAAATGGGCTCCAAAATTTCATCTGCAGAGGATTAAAACAATTTTGAGGAAAAAATACGGGAATGGTTTAAGACAATGCATCAATTTCACAATGACTTTGCATATCTACATGTTAAACCTAATTCATTTCACGTTCAAATCGAAATTGAGAAACCTATGGCCCCTTGTTTGCAAAAGATTTCCATAACGGTTACGCAAAAGACATGAGCTCAATCAGCAAGCAAAAGTAGCTTAATCGATTTACTTTTTGTCATGGATGGCCTGTGCGTCATTTTGGTTGAGATCTTCCTCACCAGAGGCAAATCCAGGTCGCAAAGCGCCCGGAGAGAATGTAAACTCGTTGAGGCGCTGATTCACCGAGGCGTTGTTCTCTGATGGGGACGGAGAGGACAAACCATCCTCTTCACAGGCACTCTTCCTGAGGCCTTCCGATCCGTCGTCAAAGGTCACACTGAGCTGGTTCATATTTTTTTCGGCCTCGGCAGTGGATGTAAGTTCCTCATCCTTAGTCGCTGGATGTTGCTTCTTGAGTGCCGCTAGCGGAGAGAGCAGATGAGAGTCTCCTTTGCCCTTGGACTGAGATATCAGCAAGAGCATTTTAGAAGTCAGCGAATACCATGGGGCAAAACTGCTGTAGACATGGCGGACTTATCATGATCCGGGTACCACTCAACACTATTAGAACTACAGCAGTCATAAGTGGACAAAAGGCGGTTATGAGTATGGTTAACACAGACGCCTAACGGTTGCGTTTGACCATTTTTACGTACTCAGCGAAGCAGTAAACCAGGGCTTATTTGAAGAATGCTAAAATGCTAAATATTTCATCAAGGATTTTTTGGTGGTTGCTGCCATACTTATAAGTCCACCATAACTTATGTACGGAGTTCCATTTGCTTGGAATATTTGTAGCAGGATGCGAAATTAGAAATCGCTTAGTGACACACTGGACGAAAATTAAATGCTTACTTTGAGAAATGAAATAGAAAAAAATAGGGGAAAATCACAACTGCAAAGGATTGGACATCGGTAAAAGAGGACATTTTTAATCAGTCTATCTGGCGTACTGTATCTGACACATAAAATTAAACCTTGCATGACCTATTATTTAAATCGTTTTTATTATCTACCTTACTGTTTAAGGATAAGAGCAAAGGCATAGGTATAATTTGTTACATACGAGCCTCACATCTAGGTTCTTCCTTGGAGTTTTCAATTTGTGGGTTGAAATTTTTTTAGTAACATCAAACAGTGACAAGAGCGAGTCAAGGAGCAGGCAATGCTTTCAATAAGCCTAAATGTCCTTCTTGAAATTGAGCTTTCATGTCGTTTGTATTCAAAGGTTCAAATCACCTACGGCTGATGCCTCAAAGGAAGCAGGTAATGGACTTGATCAAAGAAAAACCACAGACCCTTTCTTAACAGCCCCGTAGTCAACTGAAAACAATTCAGAGGGCCGCCACCAGTACAGCTTTAAGCCATGCAATTTATTGACCACATACCACTTCTAAGTTCGCATTGCACTCATACAAATGTATGGAATGCAAAATTAGGAAAATGTCACCTGGCAATAACCATGTCTAGGGAGCCAAAACTAGGGGCGCTGACTACTACGCATTAAATTCAGTAATCAATAATGTGCCCTAGAGTTATCTCCAGGTAAGTAATACTAAAGCAATGACTTCTGAGGGTACTAACCTTACACTTACTGATTTTTTGATGACACAATTAAATGTGTAATTGTTTTACAATTATTAGTATTTGATTAGATGTAGGTTGAAATGTCCGGGAACATAGGATGGTTTGTGGTGCTGACAAACCTAACAACAAAAGGCCACCAATAATGTACATGGCATACTATTAAGCACCAGAAACTTGTTTTGTTTATGGTTATGTCGTCAAATTCTCAATGACACACATGTCCGTCGATCGTTATTTGCCCATAATATGCTTTAATCTAATTGCTTAATTCGGCAAGGTCATTCCAATAACCAAGTCATCCAAAATCTCCAGACCTTAAGTTCTTACGAGATGGAGGTACTTATTAATGTCTTTGGTTCAAGTAGGCAAATATAGAAAGCAATTTGTCAGTTCTCGAAGCTGTAAAATTATTTGGGTGGTACACCGTTCTGGCTGTCTCTGGTCTACTACACAAAATTCATCAACATGGAAGATTTAAAATGCACGCAAACAGGGCAGGCAAACAGACCTCCCTGCGCTCATTCGAGGAGATGAAATTGGGTGTGTCTTGTGGGGGTCCTGAAATGAAGGCCTTGAAGATGGAGGTCTTCTTTGATGTCTTCGGGGGAGCGGCAGTCGCGTCTCCGTCTGCAGCCAGGCAGGAGTCACGCACCCCCACGTAGTGCTCGTCAATGACCGTCTGTAGGTCACTCTTTGCCGCCACCTCCTGAACTTTTAGTTCTTTGAGGAGTTCCCTTCTCTGATCAGCTGCTACTGTGCGTTGGGCGGCGTAAGCAGAAATGTCCGTTTTTGACTGAAAATAAGAAACGCCCTCTTGATTACTACAACCTTCTGCATTTCAGCAACAGTAATCTCTGCGGTTCAACTAACGCCCCAAGTGTAATGCAAAATCGGTTGATCTTATTAGATCTAATTGAAGATTTGGTGCCTCACCTGTATCTAAACCATACAGGAGTCAAACAGTTTGCAAAACAGTGCAATAAAGCAACATTTGGTCGAAAAGTCAACAAACCAACGTACCATTTCAACGATTTCTACTTCGGCTGAAATGCGGAGGTCATAAACAAATCTTGTCATGACTTTTTTGAGCACTCCCTGCGTATCCGGTTCGCCTGTGACCACGAAAACACGCAGACGGCACTTGCACCAGACGCGGTTACGCAGCAGAAGATAGGCTATGAGGAGCAGGATACCCCCGTCGTGAACAATAAACCAGAGATCGACAGTGCCCGTTAGTGGAGCATCTTTCGACTGAGGGAAGCCTTCGATGAATCGGGGCATCAGAACCGCCAAACTGCAGGCCTCCGCCGTCCTCAGAATGGCTAAATGTGTAAAAACCAAGCTCTCTCTGTGTGTGTGTGTGCGATTTACTCAGCTGGACACTAAACCCAGCAGTCACTTAAAAAAAACAAATGGCCATAGTGTCGATGCAGTATCCTTTGAAGCACGCTCTTCCGAGGGGGCTTGCACAGTCTCTGCAAATAACTAGTAGTTTCCTCTTGCTACTGTTATTTAGCATTTCTTTCTGCACAAACAAACCTTGCGATGCGTGGATGTTTCCATTAACACGACTAGCATACAGCTAAGCATAAATGTCCCTAGAACAATGTTTGTGGCCTATAAAAGTGTCACCCTGAACCATAAAACCCACACTGGAGTCACTGCCACTTGCAAGTAGAATTGATTTGGCAAACCAGTGCTGACACGTAGTCGGACTTAAGAAAGCGGTGGACAGGAAGCCTGATAGAAACGCTTTGCAATCTTGAGGTTAAGCATGGGCATTAATGTTCAACACCCACAATAATGACAAAATTATGTAGAATTTTTAAAAAAATAGCGCGATGAGTTTAATCTATTACTGAAAACGTGCAGATACTACATCACTAGACCCGTACACAGGCCGACACAGTTTAAGTCAACGCTGCCTTGGGTTAAAAAATGCTGAGTTGAAACTACGAACACTAGTTTTTTTGGGGTCAAGATGATGACATTTTGGCAGTAAAACTGCGGTTTTAGTAAATCATTCACCAGCGCCTAGTCTCAAACCTTCACAACTCATTGTCGAAAAATGGACTTGAAACACGCAAGGTGTGAATATTTTGAGGCCATTTTGCGCATAAGAAAATTTAACTTGCCGATTATCTTAAAGGTGGTGGCATCCACCGATCAAAAGAGATTTTCTGCCTAATAACGTCAGATTTTGGTCATCTATTAGGTACATACATGTATCACCGTGGAAAACCTTGATGCATTGTCAAGCATGCTTTGGAATAGAGATATTCGATCAATGAAGAAATCGACGTTAGGCTAATAACCACAAATCTCAGCCCCCAGGAAAAACTGACCTCATAATGACGAAAAACGGGCTCAATTCATTGAAGCTGACTTTTAAATGTTGAAAAAATCGTCATTACTAATTAAAGGTGTTTTGTACTAAAAGGCAAACACAAAGCACCAATTTTAATTCTGATTTAAAAGAAAGGTTAACTAGATGACTGAGATAGAAGTTACATTGTAGTTGCAGAACATAAATTTAGTCTAAATTTGCGTACGAAAATAAACGGCTGAAATCTGTGCTATGTATCAATAATAATTATGGTAACTTGCATGTGAACTGAAGCAGTCTGGTATTTTCAGTTCCGACTGTCTGTCTCCAGTCCTCGGGATACGTGAGCAAGATCGTATTGTGTCGTAAATTCCCCAGGCCAGCAGACTGAGCTCTACAACACAAAAGATGCAATCTCTGAAGAGCAGTTGCCTACTCCGAATTATCTCTGTTACCAGAATGGAGTTGACCGCTTAAATACTCACTAATAACAAAAATTACTTCACTTTTAATTACTGAATTTGTGTCACTAAAGCTGTATTCTGGCATGCAAATTTAGGCTACAAATTTAAACAAAATGAAAAGTTTCAAGTGATCGCATTATCCTGTTTTACGGAAAAACCTGCTAAATTTACTAATGAGCAGATAAACCATCTAAAAGGTAAAAAGGGTCAAATGTTACAGAAGGCTAGATGAGTTAACAAAAGACGTCTAATGTGAGGCAAGCAGAATAGGGATAATAAAACGATACAATGAGAGCGTACGAATACGTTTATTTGGCCACACACACACAGAAGTAATGCAAACACACAGGTTGCTGGAATAAATGACCTTACAGACAGAATTGTAATGTATAAACTGCGTTCACGCAAACCAACATCCATGCACACCAGGGAAGTAATGACATAATTCACCATTAAATTAATTTGTTCTAAGAGCCTTGTGCTCACAAGCGATCAGCGAACAGGGAAGTTGGCGAAGTCCACTTCGAGGACTATGCAGAACCTTACGTTAAGAAGGGTCAATGGACGTGATTCTTGGAAACTGCTTTTATCCTAGCGCTAGTGCCCAAGTGCAAATATGATATCCAAGACCCACATGCCCAATAGTTAATCACCGTAGAGCGGGAAAATATGCTAAGATGACGACGCAGGTATGTACACAATGCAGAAAGAAACGGCTAGTGTGTTATTTCGAATGAAAAGGTCACAAATGAGGTTAGGACCCTCTACAGTGTCACACACACACTCAACGAGGCCAGCACAGATCAACATAGGAAACCAAATGGATTGTGAGGTCCAAGACAACACAAAATGCATATTTCGCTTAAAACCCAAAGAACGGCTTGTGCGATTTTTGAGGCCTCATGAGATACCAAATAAGACTGGGTCTAGCAGATATAACCGAATTCGGTGTTCATTAATGTGGATCGAGTGATAAGATGCTCACTACTGATAGTCAAGAAGTTTCGTTTCTAGCAGAGTCCCTTCAAACTTTTGAAAAGGTCAGGGATTTATGTATAAATCTCATGTCTCCCGAAGCTTCATTTCGAAAACTCAGAACGCTAACCCGCGCTTCCTTCATACTGGAATTTAGTCGCAGTTCTCCTTTCCCACAGAAAACGAATCCTGGGTGGGCGCGAGTGACACTCTCATCAATCTAATGCAGCACTGCATTCGAAAGGACAAAAACAGCATTGGGGGTCGCAGGTTAACAGAAAAAAGCCTGTTCAAAATGTTATTTATAGTGGAAAGAACAGAATTAACTTGACAACATTTAACAGACCGATATCTCATCTAGTTGTGAGAAACTTCTGCATTTACACATGTGTCATCCCACTTATTCACTTTCATGAGTGGAAGCCTTATTTAATTTACAGACTCCTAAAACATTGAATAATGTTTGGAGTTATGGAAGCTTTTCCTGTGGAAATCGCAAAACATACCGATAATGTAAGACTCACATGCTTGTGGCACTTGCATCCGTTTCCAACTTTTGACTTGTTAAGCTGACTTAGAAAACCCCCTTTTCACATTAATTGAATTCAAACTGAATTACATTTCCCGAACGGCATGCTCGTGTACGTCTCGATGTTGGTTTAATCAAAAAGCAGAGCATTTCTTTAGAAGAATTACACGCACACACGCTTAACCGCCACATCACTCCATGGTGAAGTTACACATTGATAATATTTAATAGCTAGTGGATTCAACCATTTAGAGGCCCATGTCTATCCTGCCACCTTAAAATCCTATTAACTTGGACACACTGCTGTTGTTTTTGCAAATCCTCAGAAAGTGTGTAAACTATGGTGGTCATTGCTTTGATACGGTGCCTGTCTAACGGTTCGAGTACTGCTAATGGCGTAAATGTGCCCCTTGGAAAGCCCATTCGTTAGTCCGCTGTGCTAGGCCATTTATGAAATTGCCTTGTTAAGATGTTGGTTCAATCGACTTGGTTGATTCAATGTTGCATGCAGATTTTTAGGGTTTCAACACCTGGTTCCGTTTGATTGAGAAAAGTCCAATCTCGTTTGTCGATCAGCCAGTTGATCAAAGTCACCGGTAAACAAAAATTAGGTGTAATTGTATTACACTAAAGAGTACTAGAAGAAAACGTTTCGAGTGAATTGATTAAACTGAAAAGACTGTGGGCTTTTGTATAATTTCAAAGTTAAAAGAAAAAAAATGAGGCGTCGGAAGCAGGTAATTTTATTTTGTAAATAAAAATGGCAGTGTTATCAAGCCCATTCTTTCTGTGTTAAACGCTAGGCATTTTGTATTGAAGTTGAAACGTCGAATTTTGAACCTTGTTAAAAAGTAATGAGACCCGTTTATCTTGGATTTATTACAGCGATAAACACGAAACGGTTTTGTAGATGTGTGTTTTTGGATACGGAGGTGGTTAACGCACATCTAAAAATTAGTTTGACAAATGATCTTCATCAGATAATTTGCCTGTTCGATAATAAAATGGCTGCCAATAAATACTGCTAAAGCTCCAATCTATTCAAAGACGTGCTTATTTGTTCAAGCGAATTTGATAAAGAAAGCACACAAATAATCACAGTTAGGGATTTTAAAACAGTGTTAATGGAAGACATTTCCTGACATCAAAGGTATTTTATTTATCAAGGAAACCAGTGTGACGGAAATGCTGCAGCTGCAACATTTTGTTCTGCTACATCAGAGATGTTTAAATAAAGTTATAGTAAGCAAAATTAAACAAGTCTCTGACATTTTGAAGTATGAAAATCGTCGAAAACTCCAATTTGGAAAAAAAGCATGACAGTTTAACTAAGATCACTTTGGCAATAAAAAAGTTACACGCAAGTTTCACTTTTACGTCCTATGAAACGACTGATACGATCGGAAATTGAAATGTTTCAGTTACGTTTCGCTGTGTGTTTCCCAAAAATGCAAATGCACAAAGTGTCAATGAAAACACTGACTTTTGTCGTTTCAAAAGAAGGTAGGTAGTGAGCTTTACTAGACAGAAAAAGTAGAAAGAAATTTGAATGAAAAAAGATGGGCAAAAGCTACACTACGATCGTGATGGCCGTTGAAACATAGAAGCAGGTAACAAAGAAGGTAGGTAAACTGTGTTGAGGCGAAATTGGCTTCGGAGAAACAATATGTTCGGTTTTGTGTCAATGTAATTCAGAAACAAATGAGGAAACTTAAAGAAAAGAATTGAACCTCAAAACACGAGGTCGTAGTTATTTTAGATACCTTACTTGATCATTTTTTGCAATTTCAGTTGCAACTAGGCTACAGTCTCTCAATACCTCAATGGGAAATCAGAAATATGTGCCGGGAGCTGATTGTGAGTACCATAACACAGATTGGGGCTAAATTAAATGCTCACAAATCGGACAGATAAAAAGCACACACACATAGAGCAGCTGTCATCACTACGTTTACTGTTTCAGAGAGTGCTCTGTGACCGGTGTCCTGGCTTTGAGCACTCTATTAGGTAATACGAAGGAAGCCCTTCCGTTTAGAAGTTGTGGATTCCGTTACAATATGTTAACTTTGAAAAGATTCATTTCTTTGGTAAGTTAACATTATACTTTTAGGTGTTGTAACATTGTTCTACAGGAAATCAGTCCATATTTTAAATAAATTTTAGAACAAAAGGTACTTTTAAAACTTCCCACAAAAACAAGGCTTGACGCAACATCGATGATTAACTAGCAATGATCAACCTCTCATTAATTTTTATGGGACATAAGTAAAGTGGTCATTCGTAGTGGACTACGATTTGACCGCAAAGCATGCAGCAGCGTTCGAGAGCATGGCATTTTCCAAGGTTAATGATATGGTCTTTATTGGAAAACAATGACATCATAGTTTGTGTTGAAGAATTTGTGGGAACGCAAATCGTTACGGTGAAATGTCTGATAATGGGCAATTCATTGGGAGGGTAACATATTGCAAAGAAATCAGCTTAATTCTCTATGTTTAGACAAAATATTACTATTTTTAAAATCAGCACTGTGTACCGGATTAATGAGACGACAAAAATAACATCCCGTGAACTCTGTCTGGCATATAAATTTAAAAGCCATAAATGCTAGGCATTTATGACCATCAGTTCTAAACCTATGTATTTATTCAGGCAATTGACTAGCGGACCTATGAGAAATTGGGTCAGAGCAAAACCACAACTTAAGTTCCAAAAGAGGCTAATTTAATAACAATTTGCTTAATTGACTATTTTCGGTAAAAGGCAGATGGACAGGGCATTATGCAAATGAGTTGCGAATGTCTAAATGGCAGGAATTATTTAAGCAACGTACATGTTTTTCATGCCCTCTCCAACCGACTGGGCAACGATCACGCTTGCAAGACCCTTTACTCGGCACTTGAGCAGCTGTTCATCTAGTTGGGTCTTTACAAACGCAACATGATCTTTCCTTTCGCAAATATCACCCTCAAGAATAGAAGTTACGAGAGTTAAGCCTGAAAATTAAACAGAGACAAGTTAAGTTTCTGGACTGTCCTTCAAACCCCCTGTTCCACGCAAATAACAACGAAGATCGACGCTCCCTTTCAACATTCGCCTCTAGTGTGAAAGTGGCCTGACAATCATCAAGCACCTCACCAATATGGTGCAAACGCACAAGTAACAGCTGTGGTTCCTTATTGTCTGTTTATTCGTTTAAGTTTTGCACGCTCAAGATGTAATGAAAAGGCTATTCAACTCCAGCTAGCCAACTTAAGCACAACTATCTGCCACGCTTAACAGCAAGGTAGAGGGGAGTTAGTGTGCGGACGGCGTCCTACCTTCTCAGATACTGAGATTTGAGTCCCTAAAAACAATACGACTACCAACTTTTTGCATTTTCGAGGTCGCATCAATTGGAAATTATCCACAAAATAGGAAATGCTTTTATGTATGTAATACTTAATTGACCTTGGCAAGTGGGAGTTATAAGGCCAGTACATCGTGAAGTTATGATGGTTTCTTTCATAACACCAGACTGGCCAATTCATGGGTCAAAATTAAACGCATTTGTGTCTATTCCTTGGACGGTCCAAACAATCTGTGCCAGCTCATCGAGGACAACAAAAAAATAACTAGGATTAATGTACTGAGAGTCTGCGTGCAGCTCAGAAGAGGTGAGAATACAAGCACTTACCTTTTCCAGCTTTGAGTTGCCTAACAAGATGAAGTAAGTTGATTTCGCCCACGGAAAGGTCGTTTTTCACTGGAACGTAGACAAGCAATTGGGGTCGCCAGTTTTTCGTGTGAATAGGCTTTGTGCCCAGGGCCAAAATAGCGCGAGTTGCTGTCGTAAACTTCAACCCTCGAGTGGCATCACCCCATTCTTTTGAGGCTCTGAAATCGCAAATCACATCAAAATCCCCCTGTGCAAAATTAAGATTCCGATGCCCCTCATTGAGATGTAAAAGTAAAATAATTCAAACTTAGAAAAGGACCATGTTTCAACTAACCATTTTCTAATTTTGAGCAAACATCAGCTGACAAAAGCGGACTTAAAGTGACCCTTAGCAGCAACGAAGCCTGCTTTGGCATCGAGAATTTAAAATCCATCAACGCACAATCTACAACCTAAGGCAATATCCCAGTCTGTAATAATGGGCAGGCGACTGTTGAGGACTGCAGACCATTCTTTTATTCAATTATACAAAAAGCATGGGATATAATACACCGTGTCTGGCTTACCCCTTATATTCAATGTATTTGTAGATACCTCCAGCGAGAGCTAGGGCTGCAAGCGCATAGTACCAGCTGGATATGAACATCAGAATGAGACACAAGCAGACACCAATGCTTGACAAAAACCTACGGAGAAGAAATACAAGATTTGGGCCAAGCATTCCAAGTTTAGACACTGCGCAAACGCCATTTTTAATTTATCAGGACTCTGCTGATTAAGCTAGACGCTTTCTTGCGTTTGAGTATCTTAGTCTAAAAACACGAGGTGAATGGTCATTGCTCAAATTCACTAACTACACGTTTTGCAGGTTCACGAGTTTCGTTTGGACAAACTGCACTTTTCATGGGTTGCCAAGTTTAGGGCTGCGCCAAATTTACCAGCCTGGTTTTTATCGATTTGGGGTACCAAACTCGAGCGATACTGTTTCAACACTGTCCTTACCAATGGTGGTATTTAAACCGGGGTCTCCAATTGGGTTCCTTTAGGTAGTCATTCAAAGCTGTTGCCAAATTAACGAACCCATAACAAAGAAGGAAGAACCTGAAAATGAATAGAAAAAAACGAACTAACAATTAGAACAAGACTCTACGGAACAAAATTCTTTCCTTGATGCTCGTTAAGGAAATTTGCAAGAATCACCAAGGCAAATCAAGGCATATAAACATTTATATCGTCTTTTCAAAGAGTTTACATTGAAATATGAACTGCAATCTCAATAACATTAGGATTCCAGTAAGACTCTCAGTTGAATTTCTATGCGACCATGATTTGGTACCTCCAGTTTATTGCGAATTTTAAAACAAATTGAAAAAGGAGAATAAACAACGCTTTTGATGATATGAAACACTTTTTTGTTAAGAAACAATTATTAGGCCCCTTGAGAAGCAGCACATAGGATTGTTGTGAACGCTATAACATTGACTTCTTCTCGGTGAAAATAAACAAAAAGTACTGAAAAATCTTTTTTTATTATTCGATGCTAGGTAGATAAGTCTTTTCGGTTCTAAATTAAGTCAAATACTCAAAGCTGAATTTAAATGACTTAGGGAAACAGTCGAATTAGTATTCATTAGGGGAAAATTAATACGAGACAGCAAGTAAAAGCTTTATTGATATTAATCGATGTAAAACACCAAGCCAATTCGGTCGCAAAACCCCGAAATTGTCAAATACGCAACTAGCTTAAATTTTTTCCTAAGTATTAAACACTTGCTACTTACCTTTGAAAATTCAAAGCCGCAAATGATTGTAAACTAGATGCTTTTATAAAAAAAACTTGACCACGAAATCAAAAATGCAACAGTTTCTATGTAGGCATCCGTAACTGGTACAAATTTTATTATGACGTGCAATTTAATTTTTTTTGAATTTAAACAGCAAAGTTTGTCTTTTGGTTAACTGATGCGTGTTAAAACAATAATATACATATCATTAATTAAGATATTAGGACCTATTTGGACGCACGTGCTTTCAATTTTAATTGATCTGGTTGTGGCAATTAAATGCAATCTACACATTTATGCCACCAAAATATTTTTTTACGGAAGTGAGGATCAGATAAAAAATACATTAGACATTAAGCAATTTAAATGTTCATGACAGTCAAAAATCTCAGCACCGTAGGTTTTTGATGGCTTCTTTTCAAAGTGTACTTCCCAAAAATTTAATTTTGAATGGTAACATATATTGTACAAAACTGTTTTGTTAATTATGTAGACAATAATGTACTGACTGCTGTGAAATTTAAAAAACAACAATTGACATTAATGTCAATCCATATTTTAAGTAAACAGCTTCATTTACCTTAGTGTGGGTTGGCGATGCAGCCTGTGAGTAAGATTTATTTACTGGTTGATTGGAGCTGGTAGGGGAGCCACACAGGTCCAAATTAGGACTGTGACCTCAGAAAAAGTTACTTTGTGCAAAAAAAGGATATTTAAACACTTTGGGTTATTAATTCAAATAAACCAAAGCTATGAGTAGCATTTTATTTACACGGCCAAATTAATTACTGTATTTTCATGGGTTTTCGAAGACGATATCGAATAAATACAATTTCAAGCCCTATTTTTAGGGTTATTGATGCATCACGTGAGCTTAAGACTTGTTCATTGATGCAAAAAAAAGCTAGATGGGGCACAACTCACGCATGTTTCTTGGAAAATACAAAGATAGTATATTGTCCGATAACCTGTCGGCCCAAGTTAGGCCACGGCACCATTTGGCGAAATTAAATACGTTGTGTTACATGTTCAGAAGTGAAATTATGGCACTAAAAGTGTTGTTTAGAAGTTTTGTGTAACGATACGAGAACTATGAATCAAAAACTTCGAAAAAAACTATTGTCTGAGAGGGTGAATAAAATTCTAGACAGAAGGTTCAACATTCAAGGTTGTCGTATGACAGCCGACCTACATCGGCATCCTCAAAAAAATCATTTCGAATCCTCCTTCGGTAGTTATCAAAGTGAGCAAAACAAACCTGGGTAAACAGGCTGACTCGTTTTACATCAGTTTTCGTATTTCCGATTTTTGTTGTGAACCAACATAAATTATGGAATTCACACACACGTCCGAGTCCTCCAAAACCAGTTCATAAGTAGTTGTGAAAATTGAAGTTATCCTGTTGGGTTGGATTTAATGTGCAGAATTTAAATATGGTTATTTCTACAAAACACCTAATTTCTTAGTTTGCAAAGAGCCTGACAGCTGTCAAGCATAGTCACGTCCAGAGTGTTTTTTTTACCAAATCGCTGCCATTACAGCCTTAAAACGCGCAGAGCAGGATCTTTCACATGAACATTCGATGAATCAAGCACAACCGTGTCTATCTATTTTTATGCACAAACCTTAATACTTTAAAAATTTCTGCTGAACTTTAGTATCAGGTGAGAATTCGATCCGAAGCATAAAATAATTTTCAAAAACAATCAAGCAATAAATGCTTGAGAATTCTGTCAACAAACAAATTCTCGTTTCGACGTGCACAGCAGCGGATTTGCCAATCTAAGGCGAATTTACTGAACCCATAAAGTCCCACTCAAAAAGCCCTTTTCATCAACTGTCAAATAAAAACGAGACCCTGGCATAAAGAAAGCGTGAATTTTTTTGTTAAAAGTGAGGAAGTTGACATACATGGTGATGAGTGGAGTGATCGCGTCGATAGACGCGATGAGAACGGCGCTCTGGCCAATGGCGTACGTGAGCAACTGGGCACGCAAGGGTTCACCACGTTTTGTGACAACTTTGAAAACTGACAAGAAGGAAATGACTTCGTCTTGAGCGATCGCCTGCAACAACCGTGGGGCTCCTAAATACAATAAGATGATGCTAAACTCCAATCGTTGGGAGTCTGCAAACGCGATTGAGCGGAAAGAAAATTAATGTCCTGATTCCAAAGTGCAGATCCCCTCGTTTAGTTGCAGTGACCAGCAATTTTGGATGAACAACTGCTAAATGTCCAAAACAATCAAAGGGATATCAAAGTAATGGTTAGTTTGCGTGTGTGTGTGTGGTAGTGATTTCTAAGCTATTTAGTTGCTAAACACTTTAACAACAATAAGACTCGCTTTACTGCAAGTCAATAACAAGGGCCACATTTAAGTGATGTATTAACCGAACATGACATTAGTACTGCCTTTAAATTCTCACAAAAAATAGCCAAGATTTGTTTAAATCCCTCAGCTTTTAAAATTATGACTATTATCACGACGGGAATAAGTAGTAACAGAAAGGAACTATCTTTACGTATCAATTATGAATACAAAAGTATCACGCAAATTTTGGCAAGATTGCCATCGGTTTTTGGAGTGAGCTATCTTAATTAACGATAGCATCTAAGGAAAATGGTGCTTTTAAAACCAGAGTAGCGCCAGAGCCGTGAACTGTAAGTGTAGTAGGCGGCCTGGCAATTAGCTAATCGCAGCCGCATTTTCAAAGGTGAAGAAGGGAGGGAGAGAGTTGCATACGTGAGTGGGAACACAGACATTTGCCGTCAAAGGGATGTTTTGAACAAAAATTACAGACAGAGAAAATGACGATCCTGCTCACCTGTAAGACACTGCAGTCCTGCTCCAACGCTAGCCAGGAGGGTGCCGATCCTTATGACCCAAAAATGAGGCCAGGCGAGCGCGGCCACCAGCATCTCACCGCCCATGGACTCTCCAAACCTTATGGAGACCGACATTAAATCAAATTAACGTGTATTTAATAACTCGGCTGGAAGGTATTAGGCGCATAAAAACAGCTTCTGCTCCAAGCATCAGTAAAAAATGGAATCTTTAACTACAGAAGTGGACAACGAACCAGAAAAAATAACCAACTTACTTGTCTCGCAAAACACGACCATCGGCCACCGCGGGAAAGAACAAAGTAGTTGAAAGATCTATAAGTGTGTCTGAGCTAAGGAACATATTAGGGTGTGTTCACTGGTGCTGATATTATGCCACGCCAAGACGTCTCATGATTTTGTCTATAATCACTAAAAATAATCTCTTGCATAACTTAATGATAGTTCCAATACGCATTTTAGGGGGGAATCAGACACAAAGACATAATCACACACGCTTCCTCAGATGACGAAAACGACGCCAAATGACATTATCCGCTGCACCTCTCACATCCACCCTTGATGAATGTTTAAGGCGCCAGTGTGTGTGTGTGGTTCAACTTCATCGGTCATTAGAGGCCAATATTTACTTGCTAACAGGCTCTTTTGGGATTTTCTTCCCAGCAACTTTATGAAATGGTTGAAATGAATAAAAGTTTCTTGTTTCACTTGAGTATAAGTGTTCCAACAAGACAGAACTTCTCATGACAACTGTTTACCAAACAAGTATTATAGTAACTAAAACATCATTAAAGACGGTTTAAAACTTCATTGTGCTAATGCTAGCAAGCTACTTAAAACGGTAAATTAAATTTGATTAACCACTCTCTCACGCTAACTTTGTTGCTTTGTGTTTAAATAAAAATGAATTTAAATTGTGTAAATTACCTTCACTGATAAACTTTTCACCAAGATTGTAGAACTAGTGAGGGCAATTAAACTAACTTCACATAAATATGCGGTTTTCGGAGATGGAAAACTTTTGATTCTGGTTTGTTTTTTAAGCATGATCTCTATTAAGACTGAGGAACAAGTACTAAAATGGGTTCGGCTGCAGTTAAAATGCTCTGTTGGCGTCAACCCAGTGAAGGAGGTTCAATGCTATTTCGGAATATGAAACTCGTAACGTTAATAAATTAGTGCGCACTTTTACGAAATATTTTGTCGAGTTGTCAAAGGATACACACTAAGCTGGTAACCATAACGGCGCATAAAGTTCCCACGGGAATGGAGAATTGAGGGTTGGCAAGGTCACCGGACCGGTTGGACCCAGCCATGAGACCTGTTGATTAAAAAAAACACGCAGAAAATGAGAGAGAATTAAAATTTCATGACTAAGTTGAGAGCAGCAGTGATTTGTGTAAATGCTCGTCGTGCACATGAACAAATCGAAGGTGTTCGTATTTCCTACACCATCACGAATTAGAACAATGCGTGGTGCAGATTTTTAAAATCAAAATCAGTTGATCTGACCATGACATTTGGCGACGAGGTACACTTCTATTAGGTGCACTGTGGTGTAGAACACCAAATTAGTTAAGATTTTGGTGTTTCAAGCTCAAAAGTCAATGCACATCTAGGGTGATAAAGGTCTTTTGGATTTCATTAAAAAGCATTCAACAAATTGATTACCTTGATCACTTTCAAAGGATCTGAGAAATTCAATAAAAAAGAGGTTCTTTTTTGTATTAGGGTCTTACTGAAAAAAGTAAGGCACAGTAAACGTGTTTGTTGTTAACGAAATCAGCGAATGCAAAGCTTTAGTTCACGGTTTATTGGCGATGCACCTAAAAGTCACAACTCGATGGTTAAGTAGCGGAACCCAGCAATGTCGACTTGCCTGAAGTCAGGAGTACAAAAGTGAAATTCAACAACTTTCAACGCAAATAATTTAGAAGGAAATTCATCGGTAAATACCAACAATCCCATTTGAGTCCTCAAAGATTCCAATTTTCTTAAAGGAAAAAATCAGGTTCATTTGTGCCAACAAAGAGAATTCCCAAGGGGACTTGGGAAATCCTCCACCATTTTTCATTTCGCCAACACTTTAGCAGGGGATTGGGAACTGTTGGCAGCCGTCTCACTACCGAACGAGAAAGAACCATCTAAAATATTACCCTGGACGGAATACTAAAGCAGTCTGCAAGTGGTCAGTCTTGATTAGAAGTACAGAAAGAGACACAACTGAGAATTTAGTTACATTAATTAATGAAACAAAAGGTACATATACTTTGAATTAGAAGAGGGTATGTATTGATGGGAGCAATCTACCAAAACGAACATTTAAGTGATGAGTTGATCAAATTAACACAAATGTTATTTGAAGCGACAATAGGTGTGTGATTTGTCAAAGACAGTTCTCGTACCGTGATTGAAGAATTCTAGGTACGTACGATTACCTTCATGAAGAAAGTGGCTAAAGCTTTTTCGAATCGATCTCCTAGTCATGCGGATAAGTCGTAAATCCTAGTCTGATTACTGCGCGGATAAAACCTTAAAATGATGTAGACTTGTAAAAAAACTTATTTAGCCCACAGTTGAAAATTCTACCTCGACCAGCATAGGGCTATTTTTTATCATTAGCGCTAGTATCGCGTTAAATCAGGGGAAGAGCTTACTGAAGGAAGACGCATCGATGGTTGACTTGTTCTGCCTGGCAATGTATGTCACTTTGTATAAAAGTGTAATATGTGACTCTACGGTGATATTTACCAATCAATAGGCGAAAGCGTATACGTGAGTTGTTAGTCAGAACTTAGTAGTGGTTTGTTCACGCACAATTAAAAACACGAGCTGATACTCTTGAGAACACCTAGTCGTCAAGGCGATGTGATAATATCTACAGATATCAATGTGAACACGAAATCGGATTAGTTTTGTAGTTTTTCATTTACGCTTATTTGAGTGGTCCGTGGAAATGGTAGCATTGTAATTGAAAACTTCCAGATCAGATCACACCAGTGAACGTACCCGTGACTGAAGGGAAGAAGATGGCCAATAGGATAGTAAAGCTTGTGGTAATGTCAGCGATTGCGGAAGCCTGACCATAGGCGGCACTGGGTTTAAAAGGAATGTCGTCGTATGGCTCACCGGCCTCCCGGTAGAACGAAGAAAGCACATTTTCTGGAGAGAAGGGAGACTTTGTTTAACGTTATGGACAGAAGTCTCAATCCTTGTTATTTGATTGCTTTAAGGTAAGTTAAATTATGTTTTAACCAACATTATTGATGCGACCTATTGGATCAGACCTCTGAAGGTTGTTTTAACTTCACACTGAAGATATTAACATTGCACATGTTTGACTAAGACGACACGATCACCGATTCCACACCAATGCAGCGAGAGCCTGCTGCTTCCTTAGATTGAATTCTCATACACTTGAAGAGCTCTAATTATGTCCAGATTTAGTACAGGAAAGAAACGATTACGACACAGGGGGTTTGCCGAAATTGTATACTAGAAATTGACATGCATTTGGAATTTTCAAAACTTTTTAGCTAAATGAAAGCAGGTTCGTGACATTAATATCTGAAGTGTTTAAAAATGCATAGAATACAGAATCTTGGAAACTGTTCTTAGCAGCTGGAGAATACGTATTACTACCTGTGACTAATTTATTTTCGCTCGAAAATTATGCTACCATTTACCCGTTAATTTACTAGGCTTTGAACTGGACCACCAACTGTGTTAAGGTATCAAACATGGCCCTTGAGAACAAGCAAGTAGTGGTGGGAACTGCACGTAATCGCGATTGAGACCAGTTGTGAGTGCATTGCACAAAGATGAACTGGGCATATCGATTGATGGCTACTAACGTGCGAGTCAGTAGTAATGGGTGGGTAGCCAGGAGGATGTCCAAAATGTAGAATAGCAATAACTTGTGTTAAATGAAGCTGTATCAACGCACAGGCAATGTGTGATGAGTAACAATAACGAGTGCTATAAGCGAACACATTTAAGTAACATTAGGCTGGTCAATTAAGAAGTCACTTTAAGCAATCCACGTGCATCCTAGTCAGGTGAGTGATGACTGACTCCAGAAGTAGAATATGTCTACGATTCCCAGTAAGTTGCTTGGAAGGGAGCTTTTTGGTCATCATTAATAGGAAAATCCTATGCTACGACAAATTATTCGCCAGAATTTGCAATCAATTCAGCGAGGGGACAGCCTGGATAACCCGTAATGAACGCACACTATTGGCATCGACTTGAGATGGAAGATCACGGCACTGGAAGAATTGCTAACTTCTAGAGCACTTTTATCGAACACTATCGACTAGGCGTCTTGCATGAAACGATCAAGGACACACCACACGGCCTCCAGCTTAACTGTTGTGCAGGTATAAAAGTGTGGAAATGCAACGGTAATTATTTGGATGCATTCGATTCCCACAGAAGGCAAATAGAAGCGCTCACATGGCGTGCATTCTCATTACCAGAACTAAATAATGGTACAGATGTATTTTTATCTGTTGGAAACGAAGACAGAATGACATTCTAGCCACCATTATGGGCGCGCTGGCGATTGCTGTGCAAACCCAAGCAGACATTTCGGGAAGTTTATGACTTAATAGCACGCATCTTTGCTAACTATTTTCTAAATACGCACTCGCAAAGAGCGTTTTTTTTTGTATATCACCCAAAACCTCATTGCCATCCCCCACATAGCAAAACATTCAAGGAAGTAAAAGTAGGTCCCTGGGGTGGTGGGAGGCGGACCAAATCGCAAGTTAATTCAAATACGAGACCTTCTGCCGGTGTCACCTGAGGCAGAAAGGAGACGGTGTACAACAAAGCAACTGCTAGAAGAGATCATTTTGACAAAAAATATCCAAATAATAAAAGGTCAATCCATGTAAAGGCCGATGAAACAAGATGTGAGGGAACACACTCAGGCACATTTATAATGATTTATTTTGTTGCAGTTAATCCACACGAGTGGAGGGCGCTTGCACGGTGGGCGTCCAAACAGCGGTCAACACTGCCGCTTTGCCTTTCCTTCGGTCAGAGTAACCGTAATACAGGCTTATACATTATGCAATCCAAAAATCGATAAAAATGGTGCAACGTTTACCTGTCGACCAATCACATAGTGCACTTGGAACTCCACAACTTTTAATAATAATAATAATAATAGTGATGGTGAGCACAGAAATCCGCGTCAATTATGTTAATAGCAAGCCAAGTGCTGGTGTGATCCCGGTTGATGCCACCATCAAAAGTAGATTCTGTCACGATTCTCATTTGTGTGCTCTATTTTAAATTACGTAACGTTAGGTACACCAATCCTTTGTAAGATGAATGTTGTGACGATATTTACTTTTGAAAGTGAAGTCCAGTTAAATTAGTCGACCGATTCTAAATGTTGGTGACGTCGTTGAGGTCTCCCACTTGGATTTACGAGACAAGGCAACGTTTAGTTGTGGATTCTTTAGAACATGTAACGTATCTGACATTTATATAGCATAAAAATAATTAAATAATTCTATATATTTTTACATTGTCTCAACAATTTCTCCCAATTAATAAACAACATAAGTCTGGATTCGCATTTACGTAGAGGTTGCATATTTGCTCTAATTGTTTGACGTTTTTTATCTACATCTGTGACACTTGAGATTCCCAAGACTGGACTGACAGAAATAGAGCAAAATAAGGTAGAGATGCAGGCATTGATGCGTTGCAAATCTTCAGCAGTTTGCATGTAATTACTTGACATGGAACACCTTTTTATTTAACTATTCAAGTAGTCTTTTTTTATAAAAAGGGCTTTAAAGGTATTACAGCCTGGAAATTATGTGTCGTAATCTAATTGTAAAGATACCAATAAATAACAGATAATTGTTTACTACACATTATTTCGGACGGATTTCAAGGTCTTGGCTACAATTAAGAAAAAAATTCATGGGTTTTATCTGTTTCATTTACAATTTTAACATTCGTTCGGGGTCGTTAATGGACTAGTGTAAGCCGTCCTTATAGATATTGTGGTACTTAGTAAATCATTACCTTGTCATAGTCTATATTAAAAGAAATTTTAAAAAATCGTATGTGCAGCAAATTTATTGTTTTTGTTCAATGTTTGTATAATCCAAAAGACAAAAAATTGGATGAAACAATTTGTCCTGCGTCTTTATATGCAGTTAGTTCTTTTGAGTAGGTGAAACATAATTTGGACCTAATCAATGTGGCCGACATTTTAAAAAGATAGCTAGAAAACACCAGACTAGACTGATTTGAGTATGCCACTTTGAAACTGTATGAGCGCGATGACAAAAACTGGTATCCTCGAAAAAGTCGGCTAACCTTTTCCGTGTGCTTTTACAAATCTACTTGATACAAACCGAGCTTGAAATGAATCCGAGTCTGTGCTACTCGCGATTGGCACATACTTTATCCGCTTAACTCAACGAACGTGGTGGCTCCAGGGAAGCGACAAAACACCAATAGGTTTCAACAAAAGTAGTGAATGTCTTTTCAAGAAATTAAGGTACCTCGTGCATTTCGAAGTTAGACATCGGGATGGACAAGTGTGGTCTAAACACAAGTTACGGATTAGCAAGGACTCACCATAGAACATGTTTGAGCTAAGGCCAGGAATAGCAGGGAATTCTGTGACGTTGTTGGAATTAAAAAATGCACAAGCATCCGAAGTAACGTTTTGGCCACAATAGAACTCGTAAAGCGGACCGGTGATATTCTTGTGGCACTGAAGGGTTCCGTTTTCCATAATCTTCGATTTGGCGATCAGTCGACCGCCCAGAGCACAAACACTGACAAAAGATGCAATAAGTAGTGTTCGTGAATGAGTCCAGATCAGTAAATTTGGTATTTTGGCATAATTAAACAAATTAAGTTTAAAAGAATTTAAATTAATCATATTTTGTTGACAAAGCAGAGTAGAGCGCTTGAGAGTGACTTTATATTGCCCGTTCTTGAAGCCTCAATTCACGAATGCTGGCCCGTTCTGTCAAATTCCAGGCTCGTGTTTTATTTAAATGGCTGTGTATGCGTTAAATCTACTCAAGCATAACTCAAAGCGAGAAAAGGAGACTACCTACTCGTGATTATCAAGAGTAGAGATTAGTGTGTAGTGGTGTTTTTCTAAAAAAAAATAGTTAATTCGATGGCAAGCAAAACAAAGTTATACACAATTCAAGCGATTGGTTCTTTGCTAAGACTGGGTTCTGGCATCCACGGTATTAATTCTTTTACTGTCTTTTTGTTTTAAGAGAGCCTGCAGATCCAAGTGAATTAAATCAAGCTAAAAATGTAGTTGTGTAAAGAAAAATTGAAAGATAGCGCACTAACTAAGGACTTAGATGGTCACTTCATTTTACAGTATAGAATAGAGGGTTTGACGCAAGAGTTCTTTTGAATTTAAATTCCATTGGTCGAGTCACCTATCACCTGTGCGTCAATAACACGGTCACCCATAACCCTGCAGCAGTGTGATGGTTTGGCTCGCGTTTGGTTGAAATTCTTGCATTTGTGCACACAATTGCTGATGAGGAAATCAGGCCTGTGCGTCTGGGGGATGCAAAGTCATTAATTTTGCCGAACGGGAATCACGGCTTTGGACGTGTACACGTCACATGGCACAGTACAACGAGTGAAATCAACGCAAATATATCTCGGTTAAACATCATAAATATGCTGTTTTTGCCTTACCGCCTCTCTTTTGGGTTAAACATGTTAAATAAGAGAGTAACAAAAGGTGTACGAAAACGTACTATGGACTCCTAGCAGGACTTGCAGTGAAAATGCCAATGTAGATGCAGAATATTGAGAGGAGGACAGCAACGAGACTGAGGACGGAGAACTTGCTGACAAACCGGATCCCAATGAAGACGCAAATCATTACGAGGAAGGTTAAGATGGTTCCGTACACTCGGGTGTTGTTGAATAGCGACGCGCTGTTGCTGATGTCGCCGAAGAGAGAAGCCTCTGGGCATACGTATTTCTTACCGAAAATGACACCACAGAAAGCCATTTACACATTTGAAGGACAAAATTCAGGATTAGAAGCTCGAGCTATCCCCCCTCCACCACTGGTTTTTAACAGGTTTTAAAACGGCTTACAACCGGTGCGGAAAAAAGAGTAGCGTTTGGTTGCCGAGTTAATCCAATAGCCCATTGGCTTTTGGGTGTTCATGGAAGGTAAGAAAATGAGAAACACTAATATTTTAAATGCAAAGTATTTCGGAAAGTTCAGAAAGCCCATTTGTTTTAAACTTGTGTCAAACCACCACATGGAGGTGGCAAATTCAATGCGAGTTATGTTACAATTCTCTCTGACTGCTGATTCTATATATTCAAAATAAATTACTTACACTTGGCTGACTCCACAAGCATCCGAAGCCAATTGTATCAGTTACAATGAAGGTGAATCGGAAAGTGTTAACAAGAAAATTGTACTGTTTTTTTCGGGTTTAATTGCGAGATCGGCAGCACACTTATCTAAGAAAATTCCTCCATGTAACAATTACATTGTACTTGAACTTGGTTAACTACATAAAAAATTGAAGCGACTGCAACCACAGCTATTACTAAAGTGCAAAATTTTGCAATTTGCATTGAAAATACAACATGCTGTGTCACACCAACTTCATATTGCATTCCAGAAACCTTTTCTAAAGAGGCGATTTATGGCATCGTCTTTCAAATTGAGTCACTACAAAATTGGCACTTCTAAGTTAACATAGGTATGGACATTTGTCTTTAATCTAAATGCTAAACTTAATGCGTCGAGAGTCTAATCATGCTCTTTCTGAGCACCATATTTTTAGTGAGTAAACTTCGTTCACTGCTTGGAACGGCGTCATGTCATGGATTACGGAGTTTTTTGCAGAATGAATGGATACCCACCCAAAGCTCAGAAGTGCAAGATTTACCAGAAACACCTCGACGGAGCCAACCAGGTACATCGCGGCCGCCATTGAAGTGCCGAGATAGAAGAGAATTCCAACTGCTCCACCGAACTCCGGACCAATTGAGCGTGATATCATGAAGTAGGAACCGCCTGCAGGCACTTTACCGTTGGTTGCGATTGCAGACATGCTCAATGTCGTGATTGTGGTCTAACATTTTCACAAAGTAAAGAACATCTTGGGACTTTCATACATAAACATTGAATTGGTAAATGCATCTGAATAAGTGTATAATAGGAACAAGAGTAGTTGGACTACTTGGTGTGTACGAAGAAACCGCGTGTAGGCCTTATGCCCAGGGGTCCAATATTACATCGGCCTCAAACTGCTTTTATGTTAGGTAACTATCTAGCACTAAGGCTTTTGTGGTCCAATCTGTACAATCTCAATGATTCTAGCACACTGAGTGAATTAGCTTGATAAGCAATTTAGATGGAGGTCAGTATAAGCAATCGCATAATATTCAATTACCTAACATAGTAATTAGGCAATTTTTACGTTCCTTGGGCTTTAAATTAAACAAACTATTTGATTGTTAGCTAATTTACGACATGCCTTATGAGCTTGCAAATCGCAAAATTGCAATTCATTCCCAGCTTAAGTTTTGGAAGGCTCATCAGTGATGCTCAACAGATCAAAGAAAAGGTCTACTAACGGTCAATTAGTTAATCCGTGTTTATTTATGTAGACTTTTTAAGGTTTGCACACTCATGAAAATTTAAGATGAATTAAAAAGAATCTTTTTTTTAAATTTTAGAAGGAATTTACACAAGGCTTATTACCACACCAAGGATAAACCCCGAGTGCCAATATTTCAGCATTTGCGTAAACATTAAGCAAATAACCGCTTTCGTCCTTAACGGCAACGCACAAATTTCATAGAACTTCAGGATAGACAGCCCCAATGGCTGTCATCCAAGGGAACGACAAAAAAAACTTCACATCATATGGCGACCGGTATTTAAGGAATGATATTGTTGACAAGAAAAATTATATTAGCGTAACTGAAATACATTAATCACACCATCGACCACAGACTTGAGGAGTTTAATTAAACGACAGAATATCAGGAAATGTTCAGTGATTATTTGTTCTGAGTTGGACTGGACATAATGGTCCAATGTGCACGCTGTTTTCGTTAGTTCCTCATTTTCCCACATTTCAAAATATCCGATTTGTTAAGATACCCTGAATTTAATTTGATCTTTCATGCTTTAATTCACATTCGCTTCCATACATACGTTGCTTTCTTTCAAACGCAGTCTTTATGACCGCAGAATTGACTATCACTGGCCATCGTTTTCCTAATTTGTAGTATACAACGATGATCCTTTAAATGACTTTGCAAATCAAAAATCGGAATCCAAAGTGCGTTCGACTTACACAAAGGCAGCAGAAGCCAACCATGAGGAAGAACTGCAGCCCACCAGCTACGCCTGCGATCCACGGCATTCGCACAAAAAGAATGACACCGAAGATATTCTGAATGCATGGCAGGAAGACACCGAGGAATGTCCCCAGTTTCTGTTTCTACAAATAATTCCAAGAATGGTTCTCTGCAGGGCATTCACTCAAAGTCTGATGGATTTGACAAAGTTGAACAGACTAGGAATTACTAGACGGCCACAATTTCAACTAAGTGTAGCATATTACTATTGTTATTAATAGTAAAATCAGATAAGTGAAACTACTAAGTGTATCAGCAAATATGCCTAGTGATTTGGGGAAAGCCATATTATGTTATACGGAAAGAGGAAATAAAAACGCCTGTGCTAAAATGTCACTTCAAAATGAACAAAAATGAATGTACTTGGGTTCCCTTAAAAGGATATTTTTTTGCAAATTCGCACGGCTGTTCTTGTTGATGTTGAAGTTAACTGTTGGATTTTGATTAATGGCAATTGGGTTTTTTGCAACTTTTGGATGGCACATGGGCTTTCCTTGTGGGACAAACAGAAGCACTAAACAGAGTACCGCCACAACTTCTCGTCTCTAACATAAAGGAAAAACGAGAAAACATTGCACCAGGGATCTGAAAAGTAAGAGAACACTAGTTGTGTACCTGTGCCGGCGCTACATGGGCACGCATATTTTTGACATTTTGCAAGCACAATTTTACGATCGACAAAGGTAAATTCTAGGGGAATTTACAAAGATCACAAGTTACACGTGAAAAGTGAGTACACATTTCCGATCGGGGAGTCAATGAAAAAAGGATTTCAATTGTGAGCAATCCGCTGATCTAACAGTCGGGTCATTTGGAGGCCAGAAGTGCCTGATTTACATTTCTCAATGACAAACAAAAGTGTGGAAAGTCTACAACAGTAATATTTAATAAAAGTAAACGCAATCTAATTCGCTATTGAAGGTGTCTCGTGAACATTCTACACATATTACCAGAACTTATTTCAATAGGCTATCACGCGATTGGATCGATAAGACGGGAAGCAGATCACACTAAAATGCAAACCCCAACGGTGGTGATTATGGAGCTGAATTTATAGTAATTGGAAATCTGTTCCTTTGCACAAACACACACACACAATCCCCAGCGGGAGCATGAATACCCCTGTTATCTCAGCCACCTGCATTACTTTCAGTGGTTGTTTGCGCACGTGCGCGTCCACTCACCACTGATTGGTTCAGTGACACAAGCTAGTTGGAACCAGCCGAAGCGAGAAAAAACTACCTGAACCCGTGTGCTGTAAAGCGTGAAAGCATTCGTGAATTCCTGCTAATTCAATTACATTCTAACAGGAAACACCAAGCCGGGACAGACTATCTGGCGCCCCTATTAGCACCTCTATTTGCTTCCCAACTTCTCCTGTGTGCATATCGCGCTCGTAGCTGATGCCTTAATATACTTACCGCGATAATAATAATAATAATAATAATAATAGAAATGAGGGTCTCAGCCTTTTTGCGTCTAACCGATAGCTGAAAATGGTTTACTGCAGCTGCTTCATCTTAAACAGATAAGATCACCTCAAGGCTTTAAAAAAACAGGAGGAACCACTTAGCTAAGTTGGTTGGCTAGGTGGATCAAAGCAGAATCCCATAATTAATTTTCTTATTAGTAGGATGCTTTACGAAGTCAATTAATGGATAATTTAATTCTCAGGATTAGAAAACTTTCAAATTAAGTGTCATATGTTGTCATTTTGGTTGCAGCGAAGTCAATGCACAATGTTCAAAAGGAAGGTTGTTAAGTGAATCCAAATGCACTAAACGCCTGTAGTTTGTTGGAAAAAGGTGCTTGATTTAGTACTCACCCGGTCAGATGACCATAACTTGAATGTTCGTTCATTTCTAATCTGCTTGTTACCAGAGGGCCTTCGGTAGGAAAATGCTTATGAACAAACAGCAGTTTAATGATTTGGCTCCAACGAAAACGTACTGGTGCTTTACACCACAAATTAAACCAAACATCGTAGTACCACACACACACGTAGTGAAATGTTTGGTTTTAAAATAATCCTGGAGTCTCACCCTCATTATACTTTAAATTTATGCAGCATTCAGCGGAGAAATTGCACTCAGACGCTTTTCACGAACATTGTATTGCAAATCGCGTACACGCAGCGCCCTGTCAAACCCAAAGGCACGTTGTGCAGCCCGTCCGGAAAAAAGAACAGTGAGGCCAAGTGAATTGCCCAGTTTACACGCTTTGCAAGCACCCTTTGGCATCATTTAAAATAAATATTAAGTTACGTCGTAAGATTTACCAACGTTTCGTATTTGCAAGGCTATCTGTAATATTTTCTTATCGGATGAGGAGCTCATAGTCAAGTTCTTTTCAATTAAACCACTAGAGTGGGCGTGCTGGATGAATTAGTTTTGACAGATTGCAAATTAATTAATCATTGTTCAGTTTAATACAACAACCAGATCTGTTGTTTGCTAGCACCGTAAAATCAGCCCACTTTGCATTGTTACAGTGCAATTTGAAATGAATCGTTTGAGCAAGCAAATGCATGCCACAGAATCCAGCGGCCTAACGCGATTTGGTGTGATGCTGTGAATTTAGCTTTGATCTTGTAAACCATATTCGAATAAAATGTTAGAGTGTTACAATTTCGCATTTTGATCAACACTATTGACATTTTTTAGGTATACGTGAAACTGGCAGAATTGTTTTTTCCGACTGACTAGGCCGATTTGGTCAAATTCGCTGACTTTATGATTTGAAAACGAGTCTAATAAAGGCAAGCTTCAATACCAGTTGATTAATCTAATGGACTCTAATGTTCCCCTATAATTACGTCCCCGTGTGGGTTAAGTCGGAGTGAGCTTATCGTCGAGAGTGACGGTGGTTGGTTTCATAAATCACAGAGCTACTGTTGCTAGTATTCAAAAATTGAAGCACTGGATGTCCCGAACTAATTTGATATTAAAAACCCGATTTCAAAAGTTACCCAGGCTCTGAAATTCTCCCATGTCTGGTGACAGTTGCCCATTTTGCGTGGGCGGCGGTTAGCAAGCACCAGGCCAGCAAATATGAATTCTGATGAATAATGTCAGTTTGGCAATCAAACGCCTGTCAAAAATCTCCCTGGCCAGCATTTGAATTTACATTTCGTTTGCCAAGCTTTTTACCCATGTCTTGATTTAAAATGCTAAGCCACAGTAACCATAAACAGGACCCTCGAGAGAGAACTATCGTACTGAAGGGATGGGTGACCGTGACGCAATTTATCACAGAAAATTAAGCACTTCACGTCGTTCAGCCTTCGTTGAAGATTCAAGTTTGTCTCTATTGATGGGATTAATTTAACCATTAGCCTAATTTTACCTCTTAAAATTTGCCCTAATCCTTACAATTGAGAATGTGAAAAATTAAAAAAAGATAAGTTTCGAGCCAACCATTCGCGGTTTTTTTCATTTAACTCATTTTTTGGTATTTTAAGCTTAATATTCGCAAAACAACTCAATTGGCTTTTCAAATTCAGTTTTTATTGAGTAATAACTATTAATTCAGGAGAAATTACTATACGAACACGCCAGTCCGGAAATAAACAGCTGATATGATCTGATAAAGAGAACTTGCAGGCATCTAATGGTGCTAGTGTCCAAGATATTGCGTGTCCCACGATCAAATGCATAGGCCTATAATAGCAGTTCCAATAAAATAGCACCATCATTAGCACTTTTACCATCAGCACCAACTATTTCTAGAATGTGGCAGTTATTGGTGGAAATAGTTTATTGCTCGTGCTAAAAGCAGACCACTTTATTTGACTGTAGAGATAAGATTTTCTTGAGTGTGGGGGAAGTTGAGTAATAAAACACTGAGTAAATGGAATAAACAATAAATCGGCTGGGAAGTTTCCTTACAGAGAAGCATTAAAGCATTTTGATCTCCCCAGCTTGTTCTTTGCCCAGCCGTAGCAGCCGTCCAAGTTGTCACTTGATTCTGCGTAAAGGGAAAAGGGGCAGGAGAGTGCCCTCTGACGATGGTGTTTTGACGCACGCAAACACACAGTGGTTTTACGCTTGTTATCTCATTTGTGAGATTCGGAGAAATCCAGGAAACAGCGCTAATTCCTTGTACTTAGATTCGGTTAATTTTAATGTCAGTGGTAAAACTAGATTCAAATTAATAACACCTGCAACACTGCACTACAATGGCTTGTACTCTGAGTGCGAATTTACTCACCGGCGCTACTCCTTGTGAAGGTAAATCACGATCACACATTAATCTTGAGATCTTCCCAATGACTCTAGCCTCATCTTGGGCTTATCAAAGAACTTTCATCGCTGGGCAGCTACCGGACTTGCCTGTGGGACTCAACTCGAAAAGTTGACCACAGAGACATTCAGGTTGCATGGAGCATCCATTTACTGAATTACAAGATTACATTGATTCGGATGACGTAAGCCACTTGTAGCTAGTGTTCCAGACAAATTATAGTAATTTCATGTGGGTCCCTCATTATTGGTTTCGCGAAGCTGGTGTAGAGATCTTATGAAAAAAGACTATAAAAACGAAAGAATTGTATTGAATTAGGGAAAAGGTATTCAAATTTGAGGAAAGCAAGTACTAGGCGAAACCCTTTTTTGCATGGGAACTGTAAGGCAAATGACAGAACAAAATTGTAGGAATACATACTACGAGCTTTAGTAAAGCGTGATTCAATTAGGCAAATTTCCGCCGAGTGTTTGCTAAACTTACAGCACTAAACACGTTGACTCCTCGTCGTCATCGCTTTCCCCACAAAACGGTTACCGTAGGCCACCATAGTAGTCTGCAGTTCCTCTGAACCAAATTCGGAAAACTGCTAGGCTAGAATATTGGGGCTACAAACAATATTGATGGATAATTGCATTCTGTGATTTATTGCTTTAAAACTAAGCCATTGTCCACTTGCTGTCAGTCACGGAAACTTACTTTTTACTCAACGAATGTATATCGAAGGGCCTTACAACGTTTTTTTACTTTTTGCAAATCAAAT